GCGAGGCACCACTGTACATCCCCATTATGGCTTGTAACCTGTGATGGACTTTTCCTCCAGAAATCTGTCCAATCCCCTTTTAAAGGCATCTAGGCCAGATGTCATCACCACATCCTGTGGCAAGGAGTTCCACAGACTAACAACATGCTGGGTCAATAAATATTTTCATTTGTCTGTTCTCACTCTCCCAGCACTCAATTGAAGTGGATGTCCCCTGGTTCTAGTATTGTGTGAAAGGGAAAAGAGCTTCCCTCTATCTACCTCATACATCCCCTGCATAATTTTATATGTCTCAATCATATTCCCCCTCAGGTGCCTTTCTTCTAGACTAAAGAGCCACAAACCCTGTAGCCTTTCCTCATAAGGGAGGTGCCCCAGCCCAGTCATTATTTGAGTATCTCTCTTCTGCACCTTTTCCACTTCCACAATGTCTTTTTTGAAGTGAGGCAACCAGAACTATACACAATACTCCAGGTATGGCATTACTACCATTTTGTACAATAGAATTATAATGTTGGGTGTTTTATTTTCAATGCTCTTTTTAATGAGACCTAGCATGGAATTGGTCTTCTTCACTGATGCCACACACTTGGTTGCCTCTTTCATCGAGCTGTCCACCAGCACACCAAGATCTCTTTCCTGATCCATCATGGACAGCTCAGAACCCATTAGCTGATAAAGTTTTGATTCCCCCACCCCCAATGTGCATTACTTCCCATTTTCTTATATTGAAACACATTTGCCATTTTGCCACCTTTTCTCCCAGTTTGGAGAGATCGTTCTGGAGCTCTTCTCAATCCCTTCTGGCCTTCACCATCTAGAAAAGTTTCGTGTCATTTGCAAACTTGGCCACTTCATTGCTTATCCCTGTCTCCAGGTCATTTATAAACAGGTTGAAAAGCACTGGTCCCAGGACAGATCCTGGGGCACACCGCTTTTCACCTCTCTTCCATTGTGAAAATTGCCCATTGACTCACTATCTGTTTCCTGGTTCTCAACCAATTCTCAGTCCATAAGAGGAGCTGTCCTCTTATTCCCTGACACTGGAGTTTTTTCAGCAGCCTTTAGTGAGGGACCGCATCAAATGCCTTCTAAAAATCCAGATAGACAATATCCATTGGTTTGCCTGCATCCACATGCCTGTTGACCTTTTCAAAGAATTCTAAAAGGTTTGTGAGGCAAGACATACCCTTACAGAACCCATGCTGATTTTATCTCAGCAAGCCTTGTTCTTCTATGTGTGAAGATTTTACCTTGGATGAGGCTTTCGACCATCTTTCCTGGAACAGACGTTTGGCTAACTGGCCTATAGTTTCCTGAGTTCCCACTTCTTCCCTTTTTAAAGATTGGTGTGACATGTGCTATCCTCCAGTCCTCAAGCACTGTGTCCATTTTAAGAGACAAGTAGGATATAATTGTTGTAAGCTACCCAGAGACCTTTGGGTAGTGTGGGAGGCATCTAAGTTAAATAAATAAATAATAAATAAGATATCAGCAACTTCATTCGTCAGTTCCTCAATAACTCTTGGGTGGATGCCATCTGGGACTGGTGACTTATTGATCTTCAATTTATCAATTAAGTCTAAAACATCCTCTCTTTTAACCTGTATCTGTTTTAAATCATTAGCCAGGAGGGGCTGTTCAGGCAGCAGAATCTGCCCAAGGTCTTCTGTAATGAAAACAGATGCAAAGAACTCATTTAATTTCTCTGCAATACCCAAGTCCCCCTTTAACTCCCCTTTCTACCCAACTTGATGGATGAGCATGGCTGGATCCACCCCACCCACCCCTGCAACAAAGATGACTGAAAAGATGAACCCCCATCACAACAGTATCAGCACCATAACATGTATGTGAAGCTTACAGGTTTCAAGACCATGACTGAGAAAAATAGAAGTACTGTGATATCCTTGAGACGACATTTATTTCTGTCTGACCTTTTGTGGATTACCCTCCACTTCTTCAGACTCTGCTCCCAATGAAATATATTTCTTAGTCTTAGAGAGTCCACAGTATTTTTTTTGTTTTTCTTGCTGAAATAGACTAGCACTACTACTTTTCTGAAGACGAGGTGAGTCATGCTCAACTGTTTTGCTGGGCATCCTTATACTGGTTTACAAGATCAGTATCAAGCACTCATCCTGCAACCTTCTGTAGGCAAAGTTCATGTTCTGCCTCAGAACAATGGCATTTCTCTCTCTTCTAACTGTGAATATACATCACTGCTTAGCCTATACTTGAGAGGCTGTTTCTCACAGTATAGACAGCACATTTCCCTACTTTCAAAATTAAGAGTGTATTTTATGCTTTGCTCCCCTGACTGTGGCCATAAATATATTCGTAAAGTTGTGAGGTGTTGCAGTGTAATCTGCTTGGCAGATTGTTTTTTAATACCTTTTTTTACTGGATCTTTTCCTATTTAATGGTTTAGAGCAATTTGCTCTCACCAAAAAAGTGTAAGCTTTTGTCTGCAACAAAGGAAGCACTTAAGTACTTCATACATTTTAGTGATTGATGATCCTTGGTGATGTTTGGCAGCTACAAGAATTGTTGGCTCTTTTAGTAGAACTGCAAGATAAAGTTATGCTTTCAACAGCCATTTGAACTATACACTTGCTAATGAAATGGCTGGAGAAGTGACACATTCCTTACCTCAAAAATGTAGCTGGGCTAGGTGCTAGACATACAGTTGAATCACTAATAAAACACATTTCCCCAAAGGATCTTCAGATTTCATTCAGACAGATGAAAGTACACCTCATTTGGAAGTGCATGCAAGTTTGGTCCTCTTGGTGAGAATGCTGAACTGCCTCCACCATTTTAAAAGCCTATTGTTCAATACAAGAGATTCCAGTAAGTAAATCTCTTGGTTTATGGATCTAGCTACTGAGTACAGATTAATTCAGAAATTCAAACCCAGATTCGACCAATCCATTATTCTACCCACTACACTGGGTATCTTTTTACCCCTATTTATATTAATTCAGAGTAGATGTTGTCCTCTCATCCAGTCTGGAGATCGACCCTTTTGGAGCTTCTGATAGTCTGCATAGGCTTCTAAATCCACTCCAAGTGTTATTACATCATCCACAAAAACTAATTTATAAACTACAGTAGTTATCTTTCACAAGCACCAATATAGTTCCTTGTGGACATTCCACTTGCTACTTGTTGGGAACTGCCCAAGAACTCAAATTCCAATATGGACATGTCATGTTGTTTCATGACTGTTGTTTGATGGCCTTCAAAAAAAGATTGTGGACAGCATCCTATTGAGCTTCTGCTGAGCACAATGTCACCAGCACAGTAACATAAGATTGTGCCACTGCAATTTTAGCAAGCAGGGATCTCCATGGGGTTCCTGCTTGCCAGTGACAACGCTAATATAAGTAGCACAATTCATCTTACTACAGTACATTGGCAGGACTTTCCACTTGGTAGAAGCTCAGGGGGATACTGGCCTTTGGGAGAAAGTCTTTTCAAAGCTAGTGGCTCAAATCCTACTGGTGAGCTATGTCACTAAAAGTGCAAAGGCATAAACTGCAGTGGCAAATGGCTGTTAGCTGACAAGTCACCAAATATATCCTTATCCTATGCCAAAGGCATGACAAAGGATGCAAGCAGCAACTAGTTAACTGGTGCCAATTTGCCACTGCACTTACACCACCATAATTAGTCAACAAGATTCTGGCATACATGTCTCTGCAGTTGCTTGTTTACACTTGCAAATGATTTTTAAACTTTTGTGAGGTAAAAAATTCTTTTAGAATCCATACTAATTCTTTCCCAACAAGTCTTGTATTTCTGTTTGATTAATAGTTCTGTCTTCAACAATGTTTTCTACCACTTCCAATAGAACAGATGTTAGGCAGCATATTGAGTTAGGCCTGTGCTGGGTGTTCTGTTTGTTTAACCTTCCCCCTCACATTTTTCCCCATCAAGCATCGGCAATGCAGTCAGGAACAGAGGAAGCCAATTTTGGTTAGGGAGAAAAAGGTCAAGCACCTCTCTGTCCACCTCCATCTAGAGAAAGGCATTTTTGAAAGCAGCATTTTCTTTAAAAAGGTTGGAGGGGGGAAGAAAAAAGGTTAGGATGTTTACTTCTGTCATGTTTTCCTTAAGGAGGCAGTTTTGTACTTACTGTAAAGAACCAAAATGATTCCTGTATTTCCTAGCCTTGAAGGATTGCAGTCTCATAAGTATTCTGAGGATTCTTTGCTCAACTCCTTCTAAGGGCTGGTTGCCTCTTCCGATGAGAAAGGTCTTTGTTCATGTCAAGTATACTACTGCTGCTAATCCTAATTATCCCTAGGATTTATCATTGCCTTCTCCAGCCCCCCCCCCCCATGGCCTGCTGATGTAGACTTCTGTCCTGCCCAACTAGCACAACCCTGGCTATCACACTGAGATCTGTTTGTTTCCATGTGCATTTTTGAAAAACAAGTCATGAGGACAGCAAAGAAACCAAGACAGTGATGCCCATGGATGCAGATAGCAAGCATGTGTTTTTCATAATAACATTTAGTTATGTATGTTTAAAGCAGCTGGAAGTTATCAGGAGCAGCAATGCTGAATGTGGCATCAGTACTTTAAGGGCCAAGAACTGTGGCTTGAGTTGTCACAGAGCCCCCAACTCTTTCATAATCTGGTCACTTAGAGCTTGTGCAGTAAAATAGGTCAAGCAAGTTGTAATTATCTCACAGTGACGTGGGGGGGATGGGAAGAGAAGAATATTATGTAGCTGAAGAACAAGAAAACTGTCTCAAGAAATCATGTCTTTTCAGAACCCCTTAAAATTTTAGATAAATGAGAAGAAGCCAATTTCTAAGATGAGGAAGGCAGCTGTTTTACAATGGGGTCGTCATAACATTTCAGTCTCCAATCAGTCTGAGCAGCGATGAAAGCATTGTGCTCTGACCCAATATCTAGAATGCAGTTTGCCATTCAGACAAACACCACCACCAACATCTTAATATAAAATAATTAGATCTGTAACCATATGAGTTGGATATTGTTTAATCTATTGAATATTGCAGGTAGATAGAATTAGTTATCACAGCAGTCATTTTTCTGACCGTAGCCCTTAGTTTTAAATAAATAGCATATCTCAAAGAAAACTAATGGAAGTAGGGAGCTTTACTTAATAAGAAATATTTACAATTAATTATTACAGGGCAGTGGGGAAGACTGTGAGTGTTGTGAAGTGAGCCCAACAATGTAATTAGTGCCTCTCAACAGGAAAAGATACTCTCAGGAAGGAACTTACAATGTCACTCTTAGCAAGAAAAAGTCTATTCCCCCCCCCACATCCCTGGCAAATTTGGGAAATCCTGCATGCTATTTCCCAAAAAAGTATACTATACAGGACCTGGTTGCATAGGGCCTAAAATCTAAACAGCTAATATCTACAAGAATGGGATTGGGTGGGAAACATAAAGACACATTTACAGAAAAATGACATTAATAATCGTATCATTTAAACAGGCATTAACAAATGAACGGCAACAACAACAACAAAAGTACCCATGCCTTAGAACCTAGGGGTGTAATCACATTTCACAAACTCCTTTAAAGGATCAGTCCTCTTTTATTTTGCAAATGGTACAGTCAGCTGAGAAAAGAAGTCCCAGCTTTCACTTTAAACCATGGTCATAACTTTCAGAGAGGCAGGTTGGAACCTCCTAATCTTCTTCTTAAGGGCCTTTGAAGCTTTGATGCGGCAGAGTTTGGGGATGGGTGGAAGCGACTTGGAGGAGGCCTGAACAGTTGCTGACTGCTGGGCAGAAGAGTCAGGCCAGATCAGTTCCTGCTCACCCTCACCCTCATAGTCAAGAGTCAGGCTACTGCTATTGCTGCTGCCCTCTGAGTCACTTTCACTCGACTCGCTGTCCCCAAAGCGATTGGCTGTATAGTCACTGACCTCTCCTTCACTGGTCTCAGCTATGGTAGAGTGGAAAAGGGAAGCACATTCTGCAGAATATTCGGAATGGTCTGACTCGCTTTTGGCATATGTTCCAGGATGAAAGGGGTGCCGATTCTTGGAACGTGCCCTCATAGTCACAGCCCGCACAACCCCTGCTCTTCTGGCTTGTGGCCTCGGTGGCCCTGAGGCAAAGCCACCAGAAAGACTAGCAACCTGGGTTTTTGCTGAGATTTCTACAGTGGACTGCCATTTGCGGTGTTTCTTCTTGGTGGCCGTGTAAGCTGTTTCAAGAGAATACATGGCATTAGCTGAAGCTTGGTAGAGTTCAGGCCCTGAGGGTCCCTGAGGGATTCTGAATGGCACAGGGTATAGGCTGGATTCTGAGCAAGACCTGCCTGTAGTTTCTCCAGCAAACGTAGGCCTCCTAACCAGGTTCCTTCCCCTGATTTGTCGCTGAGAAAAATTCCACTCGACAGGCAACTTGGCAGCAAGATGATGCACACCCTTTGGCTTTTCCACTGAGAAAGTCTGTTTCCCAGGCCTCGGCACCTTCTCACTGTTCCTCCTCTTCACTTTCACAGGCTTCGTTTTAGAGTTAGCAAACTTCACCCTAACTTCATGGGACTCTGCAGGGACAAACTTGGCATGAACAAATCCCCCTTGAGGCATAAATTCAAGACCTCCAGGCTTGATGGCAAAGGCAGGTTTCTTGTGAGATTTTTTGGCTGGAGCAACATGAGCATTTGCAGGGCTCAAGCTAGAATCCTCCGTTCCAAGTTGTGAGCTGGAAGAACTGCGTTCCAGGCTGCTTTCACCTACTTCTGTCAGAGGAGAGTCCCTCACAGATGATTTGGCAGGGTAACGGCCATTCACAGCCAAGGAAGACTCTGCATGAACCATGGCAGCGGTCTGCTCTGCATTCACACAGTGCACAGTTCCCTGCTGTTTGGCACATTCCCCCTCAGGCATCTCCCTCTTCAGTTTCCCCTCAGCTTTGTTACTATGCGGTGAGCCCCCTTGTTTTTCCAGCTGGCTGCCACTGCTGTTAATTTTCACTCCACCAGCACTGGGGATTATAATGAGTCTCTGGAGCATTGTGAATGGCTGGCTCTTTGTTGGACACCTTTCACTGGCGTCTGCCTGATTGTTTCCTCTGTGGCGTGTCAGCTGGAGCAGTTTGTTGATGTAACCTCCTGGCCTGGACTCTACAACTGGCCGAGTCTTAATCAAACTGGGCCCAACGGCACTGAGAGCAATTTTGTTGGGCAGAGGATAGGCTTCTGTGTCTGATGATGACCCCACCAGAGAAAATAAAGGACTCTGTAAAGCCACAGCATGAAGGGGGCTGGGGTACAGATATACATCGTTCCCACTTTTAGAGACCAAGTCACTCTGGTATTTAGGGTCCACACTATAGAACTGGAGTTCTACCCCTGCGCAAAGCAGAGGGAAGGATTTGGGGTCAGCTGCTTGAGGAAATGCTGCATCTTCCGTGGTGAGTCTTTCAAGGTCACCTAGTGAGAAAAGAGATTTTTTTTTTAAAAAAAATCTTTCTGTTTATCTCAGATATCAAAGATTAAATCTTTTTTAAAATTTCCCAGATCATTTGCTCATTTTTTAAATTATGGTGAGTCTTGCAAGTGATATAGGTTTAAGTTTTATTTCACTCTTTAGATAAATCTCCACCCATGAAGCTTTTTCTGTTTCAAATAAAACATCCAAACAGATGCTAAGATGTGCATGTTTTGCACTATGAGTTGGAACACATGTATTTATCACACAATACATCGCAATAATGCACACATGAACCAGATCTTTCAGAAAGCAATGAAAGAGAGCATTAACAGTATTTCACTCAGGAAATGGGATGGGGGCCAGGATATAGGGGAGGAGTTACCTGTGGAAACAGGCCTTGGTCTGGACTTAGTGGGAGTCCCTGAAACATCACAGCAAGTTTTGATGCAACATCCCTCGATGTTATGGGCTCCTTGTGGCTGGAACTGGTTGTGTACTGTGGTTTCGTCTGCAGATTTCGGGCGGTAATCAAAGATGCTAAGTCGGGTTTTGGGCTGCTGAGAAGAACTTGTCAATAAACTGGCATGGGACGAGGAGATGGATTCGCTGAAGACAGATGTACAGGAATTGGACAAGGAGCAAGACCCACCATCACTCAGATCATAAAAGCCTGTAGGGTTGTGAGAAGATAGAAAACACTCTTTGGTTTAGAGAGAACAAATGCATACCAGATGGCCCAACTGTACCCTCCCAACATTTTACACCAAAGGGGTGTGTTTGTGGAAATTTGGGCACAAAGCATACAAAAGGGGTATGTTTGTGCAAAGTTAAGCACATTTTAATACTGTGATATTCAGCTGTGTATTTGGCCCCAAGAATGAACAAACTATAACTCAGCAATGTATTCTCGAAGGCTTTCACAGCCGGGATCCGATGGTTGTTGTGGGTTTTCCGGGCTGTTTGGCTCCTGTCCTCTGAAGATGCCGGCCACAGAGACTGGCAAAACATTAGGAAGAAAAACCTTAAGAACACGGCCAAACAGCCCAGAAAACCCACAGCAACTATAATTCAGCAAACTGTATAACTTTTCACTGGCTTGCCAGCCTAGCCTATTGTAACTGTTTTATCTTGCCACAGCCTTTGACTAGTGCAACAAGTATTATATAAATATAAATATATTACAGATTAGTTTATATATTGTAACCAATTATTTCATCTGAGTCAGCTTTGCACACTGTCTATGACAGCAATGAGGAATACATGGCTCTGCAGGAACTGCTAGTCTCTCCCTGAGAGAGGCCCGGAAAGAGAGAACTAGAAACCGGACCTTCTCGGCGGTTGCTCCTCAGCTCTGGAATAACTTCCCACCTGAAAATCCATCTGGTCCCTCCACCAGGAATTTTTTAGTAGTTGTTAAAGACATGCTTTTTCAACAGGCCTTCCTGGACCTTAAAAGGTAAAGGTTCCCCTTGGCAATTTGTCCAGGTGTGTCCGACTCTAGGGGACAGTGCTCATCCCTGTTTCCAAGCCATAGAGCCAGCGTTTGTAGACAATCTCTGTGGTACGTGACCAGCACGACTAGATACGGAATGCTGTTACCATCCCACCGCGGTGGTATCTATTTATCTACTCGCATTTTTTACGTGTTTTTGAACTGCTAGGTTGGCAGGAGCTGGGACAAGTGACGGGAGCTCACTCCGACGCGTGGATTCAAACTGCTGATCTTTCGACCTTGCAGCCCAGAGGCTTCTGCGGCTTAACCCCCAGCACCACCACGTCCCTGGACCTTACAACACCTTAATACAGTGACTGGTCTTAACATTTACATTATTCATCTTGACAACCTGCTTTTATGTTATTTTATATTATTTTAGTTATTATTACTTAAAATGTTGGTTGTTTGTGCTTATTTTGATTTTATAATTATTATGTTTATTATTTTGAATTGTTCATGTCTAATATGTAAACTGCCTAGCGTGACCATGCAGCTAGATGGGTGGTATAGAAGTGAAAATAAATAAATGAATAAAACAAATAAATAGTCTATAACACTCAGGATCTCTCAGCGTTGGCAATGCTGGCTAGGGCTGATGGGAGATACAATATCCAATATCTTTCTATCTTCTTTATGACAGGACACACATTTTATTACCATGTTATCATTATAAACGTTTTCTTATCTTTACAACAAAAGAAATACAGATATCTACTTTTTAGGGACAAAAAGCGGGGGGGAGGAGGGGGAAGCGGGATCCTCAGATTACCTGAACTTGGTCTGCTGTCACTGTCAAGATATTCAATGGATGTTTTGCCTACATCCAGCTTCAGTTCACTAATCTGTTGGTCCAGCTGATCCAAGTGGCTTTTCAGTCCAACATCTTGTCTCCTCAGACGTGACTGTTAACATGGGAAAGGGGAAAGGGTCAAGTTCACAGTCATGAAAAACAGCTGCCTTGGGATTTTTGGCATCTTAGGAAAATTTTAAACAAACAACAAACTTAGATTTCCACGGCGCTCCCTCACATTCCACCTACAGACTGTGACTACATGCAGACTTCACAGCTTTTCTAAATGACGAGTTCTAAAATATAGGCTTGGCAAAACGTGGCGGATGCTTTATGCTGTTGCCCTTAATTGTCTTGGTGGGAAACCTGAGCATGCAAGAAACATGTGTTTTATATCATTAGATGCTATCAAAAAGAAATTAAAAATGAGATGTGGGAGCTATGGCTCCTTTAGCCATATTCTTTGCTACTTCCTAGTTCTGTCTAGAGGTCTCCTCTGCTTTTCCTTCTACTGTTTAACAAGTCACACCAGTAACTGAAAGAATTTAGGGAACAACCTATATGGAAAAGTAACCATCTGGGAGTTTGGGGAAATTCTTGTGTGTATACTTGACCAATTTAGATCTCACCTTAGATTGGAAAATGAGCCTCAACCTTCTTACAGTGCTGTATGTCAGAGGTCGTCAACCCCCGGTCTGTGGCCTGAGCCGGACTGGGCCGCGGAAACAGACTTCCCCTCCCCACATGCACTCCCCTCCCCACAGCTGCTTTGCGCATGCATGCGTGTTCCAGCATCTGCGTAAGTGCTCTCCCACCTCTTCACGCATGCACCCGAGTACCCGCGTGAAGGGGAGGGCGGGCGCGCATGCAGGCGCCCCTGCACGCGTACGAAGGTGTGTGGGAGCACTCATACCAGTGCTAGCGGGTGCGCTCTGTCTCCCCCACTGCGTCGCGCATGCGCCTGAGAGCGTGCTTGCGCGGGGGTGCCCCGCCTTCCTCAGAGGCTCAGACGGTCCACAGTCCCAAAAAGGTTGGTGACCACTGCTATACGTAACAAAAAAAAGTCATTCAAACTCGCTAAATATTCTATTAATTCCATACGCATGGGCTAATTTCCTTCCTCTTCACTGGTCATTTTGGAACTCTTTCCATTTCCCAGAAACTGCAAACTGGAGGCTTCCATTAACTTCAAAAGATTAGGAGAAGCCTCATTAAGCCTTAATAGCCTTTACAACCTACTACAGGGGCTTAGCAAATTTTCAGACCAAAGTATCTATCTATCTATTTATGAAGAGAATAATGTTAACTCATTGCATAAGTTTTCTTCTTCACTTAAAAACTGGGGTGGGGGTCTTCGGTTACCTTACAGAAGTAAACACATTGCAAGTGTTCTCTTTTTAAATGGGCACAAGGCTACTCCAAAGAAACTGGGCCCTGTGTGTTTCATCACTATCCATAAATACTTAGGTAAATTCCTACCACTTCATCTCTCTGCTCAGAAGATTAACTAGAGCTGGAAATATTTGGCAGCAAACACAGGATTCTCAGTCCTACTGTTTCCGTTGTTCTGCAAAGCAGCAGTGAGGGAGTGGCCATTTGGAACAGAGTCATGGCAGGTGATGGGAAAGTTCAATCTCACCTTGCCTTTTTCTCAGCTTGTTCCCTTACCACCAATGCTTGTCTGTATTTGAACGGAACCACAGGCTTTACTAACATACCAGTATTGAATATTTCCCACTTGGTTTGTTCTCATCACCACCACCCTGGAGAGGGTGCATTCTCTATTTTGCTTAGTGTCCTGCCCACTCTCTGAGGTAGACTGATACAAGTTATGAGTGAACGTGGGACTTGGAAGAGGGCTGGCAATTAACATGGCATCTAAAATTCATTAGGGATGGCAATGGTAAACCACTCCTTGAACATTTTACATACCTCAAAACTCTATTAAGGTCACCTTAACTCAGACACAACTTAAGACAGAAGCACATAACACACATACATATAGATGCAGATTACTTGAATTAAGCTTTAATCTGTTTCCTGTCTAGTTTGAATTGCTAGATTATCTAATTTATACAGTCGTGCCTCACTTTACGATTGCCCCGCATTACAACAAAACTGCATTACGACGATCTTTTTGTGATTGCAATTGCGATTGGTTTTTTCGCTTTGCGATGATCGGTTCCCTGCTTCGGGAACTGATTCTTTGCAAAACAACGATTTTAAAACAGCTGATCAGCGATTTCAAAATGGCCACCGGGTAAACAAAATGGCTCCCTGCTGTTTTCTGGGACGGATTCCTCGCAAGAGTGGCAGCGAAAACGGCTGCCCTATGGCGGATCTTCACTGGACGGTGAGTTTTGACCCCACTGGAACGGATTGAAGGGGTTTCAATGGGGTTTTTTTTTTTTTTGCTTTATGATGTTTTTGCTTAACGCCGATTTTCCTGGAACAGATTATCGCCATTAAGCAAGGCACCACTGTAGTCCATTCAGTATCATATTGTGATTTTATCAGATACTTTTCTGTCCATGCACTCATTACTTGTAATATTGCTTTTGAATTGTTACACTTACTGTTATTTGACAGGCTGTGAGACACTTTGGGCACTATTAGACAGACAGGTCTCTAGACCATGCAGTATGAAAACTAGACAGACAGACAGACCGACCGACCAACCGACAATGACAATCTTTTGAGTTAGTCCATAAAGACTGGACGCCTGCTTAAAAAGAGTCCTAAGCAGGGATGGGATAGTAGTACATATACCTCCAAGCCCTACCCAAATAATTTCCAACCTCCCCTTCTCTCTGCTTGTAAGTATCCTTTGTTTGGCTGCTTGTTTAAAGTCTTGGAACAGAATTACATGAACACAAGTCCGAACCTCTTGCTCAGCACTTAAAGGTGGGGGTAAAAGAATAAGAACATGGTAGGTGGAATTCACAGGCATGGCCATGTTCCTGCCACACTTCTAATCTACACTCAAGCAGACTCAATGCTTAATAAACCGTGAAACTCCATCGCGATTAGAAACAAAACAACGTGTGACTTGCTAATAACATACCTCTTTGTTTCTTTGTGATCATCATCTTCTTAGCTAAGATATATCCAGTTTCTGAATCAAGTAATGTTTTCATGACCCAAAGACCACATGAGTCTTCTAGGCCATTTCTGTGGCCCCTGAGAGACCCTCAAAAGCCAAGCTGCCAAAATTCGATAGCAAGATTTGCTACTAAATTTGGGTGGTTAATGAGTGTGGGGGAACCCATGGAATGTTTGGAAGGATTCACCTCTAGACCCACCTAAAGTTGCTCATCCATGTTTTAGGCTTTTGGGTACCACAGTATGAGTTCCTATTGGTTTATCCCCCCAGTAAGCAGGAAAGGGGAATCTGTCATATATCATCTGTAACTGTGTGATAAAATTGTCATCTCTATAGTTTCTTCCTTCAACAACTGCTGTTACTAAGATGAATATGTAGTTATGCTCCACATCACTCAGCATTCACATACAGTTATGCATAGTTACAACATTCCTGTGTTTTCCAGGGTTTTTTCTCTCTTCCAACAGCTTTGTATTTGCCACAATGAGACCCAGTAAATTTCAAACAAAGACCCATTATTGGTGCCATTTGAAACTAGAATTTCATACTGAGGCATTATCTATCAAGTTTTTTTTTAACATACAAAGACTGCACTGGTAGAAGCACTTCAAGTTTCCTTCAGTCTTACCCATTCAGAAAATCACAAAGTTTTGTTTTCGTGGCTAGAATTAATTGCTTAATGATTAATGTTTTGCCAGCCAATTCCCCCCCCCCCCCTTTGTGGTTTCTGATTAATGGCAGAGAGGCTATAAACCATTCAGGAAGGCTCTCAGGTATTCAAAGATAATTTATTACACCTCCAGGATCTGTTTGTAATTTTACAGCACTTTAGCTAACAAAAATGATTTACATCAACTTTGCTAACCCTTTCCTCTTTCCCATTGTCTCCTATCATGGGGAGTGGGGTGGGTTTCATGCTGTCTGAAAGACTCCATACTTGTCATGAACTCCTCATGCCTGGGACCAAATTTTGCTTAAATTACTCATCTGCATCCTAGATATTTCTCCTGCAATGAGACTGCCTCAACCAAATTTCACTAGAGAAAACCTTGTGGGAATTTATTTTACATGGTTGATTTAAGCCATCAAAATGTTTACACACTGATGACCGTCGCCTACATTAATTTATCTAATCTTCGTTTAAAGACATTCAAGTTGGAAGCCATCACTATATCAAGAGGAACAAATGTAGGAATGCCTTCCAACTTAGAGGAAGTGATTCCAGCAAAATCTGAAGTAATACAGCAGTATTGTGTGGGTTTTTTTTTGTTTTTTGAAAAAAGGCTCTGTACAATACCCCAAACGTCCCTATCTGTTTATTCATCTATTTCTTAACTTAATCGATGCTACACAAAATTCAAAACAACACAACCCTTGCCTGATAGTTTGCCACTTAGAACAGGTAAAGTGGGGCACATGGTCATCCCTAAACAGAGTACAGCTCTAGACAGAAAGAAGTACTAGACCTCTCCACACAGCACATTGCTAAGCTATGGATCTGCTACTCCAGGATGTATTTATGACCACTAATTTAGATGGTTTTAAAAAGGGATTAAACCAATCTGTAGGAGATAAAGCTATCAATGAAGCCTAATCACAATGGCTATATATTATCTTTAGGATCAGTGGCAGAATGGCTCTGAATGCTAGTTATAAGAAAGCAGCAAGAAGAAAAGACCCTTTCCCTCATTTTGGGGTTTCACGCAGGTCTCTCTTTCAATCTTGTGAGAAACAGAATGCTGGGCTAGACAGACCTCTAGATATGATACAGCATGGCTGCTCTTCAGGAAAGTCTCAACCAAGATTTTTTTCAACCTCAGCATTTTGGCTTTTTAGCATAAGGTAACTTATTTTATTTTAATTTTGGATGACTTGTAGGCAGCCTTTTTCCCAACAAGCGGCCCAAGCTGGCTCAAATGAGTAAAATTAAAAACAATAAATTGCATATTAAAAACCAGTTAAACTATAAAATAATTTTAAAATACATTATAGGATTAAAAGCATTTAAA